GGGGGTTGGGGGGGGGTGGGGGGCGTCGTCATGTGCTGGAGAGACAGCCCCATGGGTTGGGGAATAGGGGGTAGCGTGATGGGTAGGTCGTCGGTGGTGGAAAAGCGGGCGAGCCGAATATTTCTGGGCGTTTTGTAGCATCGACCGTCCCAATTGGATGATCATCGAAAAAGACGTGAGCTTTGCACATACGTAGATAGCGTGAAAAAGAGCCAACGGACACTCTTTCTAGTCATCGCGCTCCCCCACAGGAGCTTGTGTATGTGTTTTTACCATTAGCACCGACCGGGGTAACCGGCTGACAAACGAAAAGGCGTCAGTTTCAGTGCGGTTGAAAACAAATAGCTTCCTTGTGTATGTGTGCGCGTGGTATCATCGACTACCTTCGATACACCCGCAAGGCTGTAGTCTCTTGTCCCCGCTTCCCAAGCACGGAATACCAATAAACCAATCGCACGGGGAGCAAAACAACGCCCAAGCTAAACAATTCACTCTCCTGCCATTGAGCCAGGCAGAGAAACAAAAAAACACCCGGCCGTGCGTACATACCTCTGGTGACCGCACCGACAGTGCCTCTAGCGAGCCCTCCTGAATCTCCACCTCTTCTCCGTGCACCAGCGGGTAGGTCATGCACCGCCCCAGCTGACGATGGTGCCGTTCCCTGTGACCGGTCAGGGTTATTCCACAGCCATCGCAGTAAGCGGTTTCAAGTTTTGAGATTCGGACAAACGACAATGACACCGACGACAACAACATATCGTCCAGTAGGCGGTTTCGAGTTTGAGGTTCGGATACGCGACAACGACAACGACGACAACATCACGTCGTACGGGGTTTCGAGGTTGAGGTTCGGATAAACGACAACAACAACAACAGGGAGGTGGACAGCTACAGGAGGTATGTAGCTTGATTTTTTTACCGCTTCTGGCCTCACCTGGTCCCCGAAAAAAAAATCCTCCACATGATATTATTCCGATGATCTACCCTGTTGACTAAACAGAAACTCATTTGTTTTTTCGGCAAAGTGAGTGGCACACGGGGTAAAAAATAAGACCGTCTGCTACTAACCCCCGTGAATGTGGATCAACTTCACGCACACCGTCAAGGGGGATCCGTGAGTGCAAACACGGATACACTGCCCCAGAATTCGATACGGTCGAATTCAGTGTGTGCGTGGGGGGGGGGTGTACTCATAGTCGTGCATGCCGTAGTCGTTAGACCATTGAACTCGCATCCCTACAAAGCCGGGACGGAGCACGCCGGGTTCGGACCAGGCTCTCACATCACCAAGCGCGAAGCGCCGTGAGGTATTCGGAGAGTCGTATGAAGGGTGCGCTGCATCCTGCTAAGGGTGGGTGTTCAGCATCTTGTGCTTACTTCCTTGTGCGCGGATGACAGCTGGGTATGACTTCCAAACTTACCCATTTCTGTAATATCCGTGGGGCCCCTTGACGAGCCACTCACCCAAGTCGCGAGACGAAGCTCCTCACTTCCTTCTGCCGAAGGCCCGGCCGCCGCCTGTTGTGCCCCTTCTGGTGCAAATTGCGAAGCTGCTGCTGCAGCTGCTGCCGCTGCTGCCGGGGGCTTCTTGTGCGGTTCTGGTGGAAGATCCTGCCCGCGTCGCCGTCGCCATGAGGGTCCCAAGCTGCCAATTTTTTGTTTCATTCGTTGGGGTGTGGTATCATTTTCCGATCGTGTTCGTTATCGGCCCCCGAGCGGGAAAAAACAGACTGACAGACGGAACGGATCACGAAACAAGAGAAGATTGCTTACCCTGGGGGGGGGGGGGGGCAGGGGGGTGTTGCAAGCCAAAATAAAATTGCAATTGACGCATACTCTGTCCCGTCCAAGTTGCCTCCGATGCGTGCTCAGGGTTCGCGGCGCGAGCAAGGCTGTACCTGTCGGTCTACCTCTCATGTCTTCTTTTTCTGTCTATCTGCCTGTCTCTCTCTGGCTCTGCCTGCTGTCTGCCTCTATCCCTTTCCCTCTCTGTCCCTGCCTCTCTATTTCTCTGTCTCTGTCTCTGTCTCTCTATAACGCCGGCTGTCAACAAACCCATCCAAACACACGCCGTTGCCGAGACAAAGCACGCACTCAAGTTTCTCTAGCAAGAACGAAGAACGAAAGGACCCTCCTAGCCTTTCCTCTTCCCCCCGCCCACACCGCACGGGCGATTCTCGAACCACCCGACCTCGACGCGACCAAGACTACCACATACCCCGTCGCATTCGATGACTCATTTATTACGTCAACTTTCGTGAGTAAAGCATATCGCAGTTGTAGGCATTTGATGACTGATTGAATACGCCAACATTCGTGAGTAAGCTAGGCACGGCACTACTGCTGCTATACACGTGGCGTACAGCCTCGAAACCATCACCCTGTTGGCACTTCTTGCGGAGTGAGTGGCGTTTGCGAAAACATCGTCACATTCTTTCTTGTCGTGTCTGTTCGCTGACCAGGTACGCTTTTGTTTGTGGGCCCGTAGTCTTACTCTGTGTGTATCCGTGGCAAGGCAGTTGTGATCACGCGCGGCCAACAACATCTCGGAGAGAGAGAGAGAAAAAAAAAGAAAGAGAAAGAGAGGCCTCGCTGGCCAACAGCAGGCGCTGTACGCTGGTGCTAAGCAACGCCTGGAGGTGTATCGTCCCAACCCTGATGCACGTTTTCGCACGCCCGGCGGTAACAGCGACTGCCACGCAAATATACCACCACGCCAACCATGCCGTGAGACCGAGCTTCTACACACAACCGCGCGAACAAAACCTTGACACTTTTAAGGTTTGCAAACAACAAAAAGAAAAACGAGCCTTCGGCAGAGTCCCGCAGCCCAAGTTGAACTTGGACAACTCACTCTCCTACAGAATCGCAATAGCAGAGCCTCTTATCCAGAGGGGAGGTGTCGGTATGTGTTGCTCGGGAAATCGTAGAAAGGCAGGTAATAGTTTGTCCCCCAACGCTATGGATCAATTGTTTTTTGGTTCGTTGTGTTAGTGCGTCGTTAGCAACTGCAATTTTTTGGTTCGTTATCCATTTGCTATTATGAATACATACATGTATACAAAAAAGAATTGCGTGTCTGTGTACGGAGAAAGGAAGCTAGTTTGTCCACCAACGCTATGGATCAATTGCTTTATTTCGTTGTGTTATTATAGTGCGTCGGTAGCAACTCTATTTTTTTGGTTCGTTATCCATTTGCAACGGTAGCAACTCTATTTTTTTGGTTCGTTGTCCATTTGCAACTATAATATATTAAAAAAAAAGAGTTGCGCGTTTGTGTACGGCCGGCTCACCTGCAAAATGCGCATCCGCTGCGGCAGCCGACCCCAAACCAGACGACAGAGTAGTCGTGGAGTGATCGAAGTAACTGCTGGGCCTAGGGCTAGGACTACCGCCCGTCGTGCTTCCCGTCGACAGCTGCTTGCTGAGGGGAAACATGACGCCGCCGGGGCCGCAGAAGAACCCACCGTCGCTTGTAGCACTTTTTTCACGACCGGGGGGGGGGGGGAGGGGAACAAGGGACAGGATGATTTGGGGGGAGTCCACAAAATTGGGGGGGGGGGGGGGGGGGGGCCCCCCCCCCCCAACCCGGGGGGCCCCCCCACAAAGGGTTTTCCCGGCGTTTTTTTTTGGGGGGGCTTAGGGCGCCCGGTTTTTCCCCCCCCCCCCTTTTTTCCCCAATCTTTTTAAAGGGGTGGACCCCATTTAGGTGCCCCAATTTTTTTTAAACAACCGGAGCGGGGCCCGGGAAAAGCCTCTTTTCCTCCCGCCAGGCGCCCAACAGGCTAAATATAACCCAAAAAAACCCAAAACACCCCACACAACCCCCCCCGGGGGGGGGGAAAAAAATACGGGTTTCAAAAAAAATTGGGGAGGCCCCCCCCCCCCCCTTCCGCTTGGGGACCAAAAACCGGCCCCCCCCCCCCCCCCTCCGGGAAAACCAAAAAAAAAACCCAACCCCCCCACCCAAAAAACTCCCCCCGCCAAAAATTTTGTAACCCCCCAAAAAAAACCCCCACCCCCCAAAAAACCCCCAC